ATAGCGCGCCGCGCCGCTCCCCGACGCACCTCTGCGCGCCGCGAGAGCTTCTCGCGCGCCGCGGCAGCTCCTCAGCGCGTCGCGGGAGCGCATACCCGCGCCAGAGAGCCGGCCGCGCTGCGAAGGGCGCGTCCGCGCTACCGGCGCACCCGAGGAACGTCTCGCGACGCACCTGTGAGCGCATCGGGCTTGCCGGCCTCCTCGCCCGCGTGCGTGCGCGGCGTCGAGATGCTTCGCGCAGGCGTGTGCGGGTGAGGCGGTGAGGCGGGGGGCGAGGGTCCCGAGGCGGAGTCGTTGAGCACTGGCGGGTGGCCGCCGAGCGAGTACGCGCGGGGCGGCCGTGTGCGGGTCCAGAGGCGGGGCGGGGCGCAAGGCTCCCGAGGCGCAGGCGCTGAGGGCGAGCGGGTGGCCGCCGAACGAGTGTGCGAGGGGCGGGCGTGTGCGTGTGCGGGCTCGGCGACGGGGCGTCGCGCAAGAGCGCCGACGCGGGAGGCGGAGGCGCTGAGGCGCTGAGGTGCTGAGGGCGAGCGGGTGGCCGCCGAACGAGTGCGCGAGGGAGGGAAGGAGTGCGCGAGGGAGGGAAGGGGTGCGCGAGGGAGGGAAGGGGTGCGCGAGGGAGGGAAGGAGTGCGCGTCGTCGCCGAGCGGGTGCGCGTTCTGGCCGGAGACGCGCCGCCATCGAGGAGCGTGTCGGATGGCGTGTCGAAGGTGGGCATGACCGCGCGCACTGTTCCAGTCCAACGATCCCGCATCTGCGCACCATATCTTCGAGGTGCCGGTATGTAAGCACGGTAGATCGATACAACATATACATGTACATTTTAATCGCGTGCGATGTTCTCGACACCACGATAGCCTTCCTAAAGATCGCGGACGAAGGTCCACTTGTCCCAGCCAAACGCATGCGAAAGACGCGTCTTCACGCTGACGAAACGAGTCAGACACAAAATGTAACCAGACTTCAGCCAGACGTACTAATCCTGCTGTGATTTTTCCATTTTCCACTCGTGGTCCTGTAACAAGAAGATCAAGGACTGCGCGAGCCGCTCCGGGAGAGCGACAGTATGCACCATGTGCAACACGAGCGAGCCCCCGCCCCAGCGCGGCGGAACGGCGTAGGTCAAAACCACGCCGGCCTGCGTGATTTCAAACCCCAGCTCCGCCATGGCCTTGTAGATCGTCAGCGGGGGCAGCGCGGATATCGAAGACATGTACTTACATCATTGAAATGGATCCATTTGAGCGTGTAACGCGCGTTCTTGGTTGCCTTGAAAATCGATAGCATAACCTGCATAGTGATTAGTTCGAACACTTGACCACATCGGAGGGTACGCACCTGGCGTGATTCCCAGCTGAGCGGCATCTTGCAACGGTGTGGTGAGGGAGTAAGAGAGAGAGCTGAGAGAGCGATCGAGGCGGCGAAGGAGCGAGGGAGCGAGGGAGCGAGGGAGAGATGGTGAGGGAGCGAGAGAGAGACGGCGAGGGAGCGAGAGAGAGGTGGCGAGGGAGCGAGAGAGAGGTGGCGAGAGAGCGAGAGAGAGACGGCGAGGGAGCGAGAGAGGCGGCGAGGGCGAGACGTCAGAGAGCGACAGAGCGTCAGGACGAAAGAGCGTGATAGCGAGAGGGCGACAGGACGAGAGAGCGACAGAGTGAAAACAGACGGTAGGCTTGGGTTCAGCGGCGGGGCAGAGCGCAAGGGTCCCGAGGCAGAGGTGCTGAGCGCGAGCGGGTGGCCGCCGAACGAGTACGCGAGGGGCGGGCGGAGCGCGTCGTCGCCGAGCGGGAGCACGCTCTGGCTGGAGATACGCTGCCATCGAGGAGCGCGTCGGAGGGCTTCCTGGAGCACACAGCACACGATGACGCGTCGTAGCCATTGTTTGCGCGGACCACGGCGGCGTCAGTGGGTGCGAGTTGTGCGCCCCTGGTTGCGAGGAAACTCTGGGGCGTGCTGCGACACCAGAGTGTATACCGCGCCCGCCGATTACTGCGGGCGCGAATAGTAAAGGGAGCGCGGCGCGCTCCCGAGACGTCCGCGGGATATGCGGGAGGACGAGGACTGGGGCGTGCGCGAGGTCGTAGGTGTTAGGGGAGGACCAGGCGTGCGCGGCGAGGCAGGCGAGCTTGTTTAAAAGCGAGAAGAGCGCGGCGCGGCGGGAGCGGGGTCGATTCCGGCGACGCAGTCTCCACGGGTACTCTCTATCCTCCGCGACCCCATGTATGTCCGCCGCCCGTGTCGCATGTATCTTCTGCAGACAGAGTCGTCTGAATGCGCCCCCGCGCCCAGTTTCACCACCGCGGGCTCGGTTGCTGCTTAATTGTGCACGATTGTTGTTCGCTGCAAAGGCAGACCCGATGAGTGATGGAGACTACGCATCTGCCAGAGGCGGCTCGTACACACCCCCGACTTCTGCGCGGCGCGGTAGTGCGATCGGCGCACCGTGAATCGCAGCCGTCATGCAACTGCGTGCTCCCCCAGGTCACGCGGTCGACAGAGCGCACGCACCGACGGCTCCGGGCATGATCATACGAGAAGAAACGAAAAGGGGCGTAGAGGTATGTGCACCCGTTGCTGCACTCCGCTCTCACTTACAGCGCTGACCGCGCCGTCTCGCTGTGCAGAAACAGCGGTTGGAACTCTGACTCACTTGGTCCTCTGTTGCTTGCGCATCGAATACCGACTCAGAGATGTCGTGATATAGGCGATGCGGATGCGTGAGTCGTGAGCTCCGCGTACGAACATCGGCTGTAGAGACAAGGGCGCGGGTCGTGGCGGCTGAGCTAATTGTGCGTTTGCCGGAAACGGTGAGTATGCTGGTGATAAATGAGCGTCGACATAGCGTACCTGGAACTGTTGTCGGTATGTGCCATGCAGCCTCCCTTCCGATCTGGTGCCGCGAAAACGGGGCCGCGTAGGCAAATGGACGCGCGTTGTCAGCGAGTATGAGACCAAACCAGCGAGAAAAGAGTGTAACGGTGGATGCGTGAAGTTTTCAGCCGTCGTAGGCGATATTGGTGTGAATGGGACCGTCAGCGCCAGCCTGAGAATGACGGACGCGTTGCTCGATGGGATACGGAGGCGAAGAGCAGACTCGAAAGGGGGGGCATCAGGCGAATCGCGCACGGCACACTGCAAGAGACAGCAAGCGCTTGAGTGGTGAGAGTGACTTTGTTCGCTTTGAGAGAGTTGTGAGGGTGTAGTTGAGAGAAGGCGGGAGCCAAGGGGAGCCATCGATCATCAGTCCAGCCAGTCCGTTCCTCCCGGAACCCTGGTGGGAAAGCCCGCACGAGTTGCGCACGAGGCTCCAAGGCTTGGCGCTCCTGGACTGTGCTCGCCTTCGTTCTCCCACTTGTTGTTCTGCCCGCCGCGGCCGCGGCCGCGGGCGGACACGGATGCGGAACTTCTCAGGCTTCAGACTCGACGACTCCAAGGACATGCACGAAGTTTGTGTGCAAACAAGCGATCTCCGGAGGTTTCCGGAAGCGCCGAGGTGCACTCAGGCACTAGTAAACCGCGGAGACAGTCGCACCGCCACCCCCGCACGATCGTCATGCGGGGGCGACGATCGCTGACTCCCACCAAGTAGTTACAACAGCACTGAAGACACGCACCGCGTTGATTCGAAGCAAACTAGCACCCTCCGGGCAAATGCCCGCTTCCGAGGTCGCGAGAGGCAAGTAGCATGGTCTATATTGCGAGAGTACGTCGTGAGCCTTCAAGTTCGCGATACTCCTACGTTTCCTTAGAAATTGTTAACAAAGGTCCGCTCGTGCCAACCGAACGCGTGTGAAAGGCGCCTCTTCACGCTGATACGACACGTCAGATTCTGTGCCAGGGTCAATCGCTCGGGAAGACGTACTAGTCTTGCTGAGATCGACTCATCGTGTGCCTATGATCCTGGGCCAAAAAGTCAAATAATGCGCCGAGAATTTACAGATGCGAGACTGGACGTACCATGTGCAATACAAACGCACCGCCGCCCCCAAACGGCGGAACGAAATAGGTCACCACCACCCCTGCTTGTGCTAGCTCAAACCCCCGCTCTTCCATCGCCTATGCAACGTGGGCGAAGCGACGCGCGACCAGAATGCAAAGAACTCACGTTGTTAAAGACTTTCCAATCGAACGTATGACGCGCGTTCTTCGTGCTCTTGAAGATGGAAAGCAGAGCCTGGGGAGAGATCAGCGCAAACACAGGGTCCGGTCGGACGGTACGCACCATGCGTGATTCCCAGCTCAAGGGCATATGATTGGTCTCCCGGGGATGAAGCCTGCGCTGCACACGCCCGCCCCTCGCGCACTCGTTCGGCGGCCACCCGCTCGCCCTCAGCGCCTGCGCCTCGGGAGCCTTGCGCCCCGCCCCGCCTCTGGACCCGCACACGGCCGCCCCGCGCGTACTCGCTCGGCGGTCACCCGCCAGTGCTCAACGACTCCGCCTCGGGACCCTCGCCCCCCGCTCACCGCCTCACCCGCACACGCCTGCGCGAAGCATCTCGACGCCGCGCACGCACGCGGGCGAGGATGCCGACAAGCCCGATGCGCTCACAGGTGCGTCGCGAGACGTTCCTCGGGTGCGCCGGTAGCGCGGACGCGCCCTTCGCAGCGCGGCCGGCTCTCTGGCGCGGGTATGCGCTCCCGCGACGCGCTGAGGAGCTGCCGCGGCGCGCGAGAAGCTCTCGCGGCGAGGTGTATGAGGTGCTCAGCGGGGACTCAGGTAGGCATTGAGACGTCTTGTCTCATGATCACGAGCGCTGATGC